ATTCTCTCCCCTATCCCACCGAGGGGGGGAGGGTGAGCGAGCAGTTGCGTGGTGCTTAGTTGCCAATTGGGGTTAAACCACGACAAGCCACTGGCATCAGCCTGTTTCACACCATCATCCTCAAGATCTCTATGTGCCAAGTGCCTGCTCCATTTATTTCATGGTCCTCCCACCTTTTACCCCTGCCTTGGGTATGTTCGTATAAATCTCCCCCATTCCTTGGTGTTTTGGTCATCTGCTAGGATCCAGGGAGTGCAATTCAGTGTTTCTAGATGTTGTTTTCAGCTCTATCAGCTTTTGGTTATGATCATTAGATGGGCATTGCAAGGGCAATTTCTCCTGTGCAAAACAGTTTAAAAGTCCACTTTTCAGAAGTAAAAGAGGCTTTGCAACATCCTTGCAATGAAATCTCTTTGTAGGATCAGGCCCTTAGTCATTTTGTGCTGTAGCTTCTTCGTATGTAAAATGGAGGTAAAGACTGTTTGTTCCTAAAAGACCAAGAGGTTTAATTTCATCTGGGATGATTAGAGAATAGCAGTGATAATGCTGCTATTAATTACAAACAGTGTTTATTAGAGTTTGTCTTTCCATGTGCCAATGATGATACTTCTTTTTTTCTTAAAGGTCCCCCTGTGTTCATTAAAAAACCTGTGGACCAAATTGGTGTGTCAGGAGGGGTGGCCTCCTTTGTATGCCAAGCAACTGGAGACCCAAAGCCACGGGTCACCTGGAATAAGAAAGGGAAGAAAGTGAACTCTCAGAGGTTTGAGGTAAGAGATGTCCTTGAAATTTGTATCTGTGTGTGTATAAAGAGAGAGAGACTGACGCAAAGCAGCTAGTGCTCTTCTTTGGCCATTCTCAGACCCGATAATAAAGGGAGGTTTGGAAGGGGAGGAGTTTTAACAGCAGAAGGAGTGAAATGCAAGCTCTTGGCCATGTCAACAGCTGGGTTTGTTCCAAAGCGAGAGAGAACTTGGCTTACTTACGTTATTGGAGTTTTTTCTTTTGTTTTGTTGGGTTTTTTCCCCTCCTGGGATATGATATAAAGCTGCGTTCTTCCTTCCCTGAGAAACCCCAACTAAGCTGGTACTTCTTCAGCTCTGTAAATGCACCTTTCATACCCATCCATGGCTCATTATTTTAACCCTGGGACAGCCAGCAGTAAGCATTACAGTTGCTGGCAACCAGACCCAAGCAATTGGCATTGTTTAGATAGAAATGAGAGTGGAGGAACAAGGACTAGGAGGTCATCCTGTGGAATTTGCTGTGGGACTCAGCCCTGCCAGACAGCTGTGTGCTGAGAGGAGCTTTGTGGTGTCAGCTGCCCATGCAGATGGAGGAACAAGGCAGGGGTTCATTTTTATTTTGTTTTCATTTGGTCCGTTTCCTCCTCCTTCATCACAGTTGTAGTCTGAACACCCACCCCACACACACCGTCACCATGGCTCATTCTTTCAGAGCATTTGATATGTACAAGCAGTTTCGGTGGGTCAGTGGTCAGGGACGGGGCTTGGCATGGGACAGTTCTCTGTCACCTTGAGGTCAGTGGAGAGGCAAGTTGACTATGTTGGTTATATATAGGGGATTGTGGGGCAGCTGCTAAAGTGTGTTTGTGAGTGTGCGTGCTTGTATATATGCTGCTGCCTCCTTTAGAA